AAATCTCATTCTCTGATGATGGGGGCCTCAAACTTGGCCATTTTGATATTTTCGACATGCTTTTTCCATTTCTGGCATTCGTTAAGTTATAGCCCATCATTTTAAGAAAAATAGGTCACGTGATGGCTTAGCTGCAAAGGGCCTATACAAAGAAGCTTACATACCGGAAAAGTTCAGCATCACGGTCAATAAAATATGCTCCATCGTCTTCGTCCGCTTTTAACTCAAACCTTCCAGAAAACATCGCACACAGCATGGAATCCGGATCCTTTCTCAGAGTGTCCAGTGTTGTTTTATAAATTTTACCACCAACGTTCAACTTGATCGTGCTAGCGAAGTGGACTTCATTCAAGGTTTTTGTTATCTCATCGATGGCTGATTTTTCACGTTCAACATTGTCAAGGTCTTGCTCCATTCGCGTATTACGTCTCGACTGCTCTAGGGTTTTCACACAAAATCAATTGAGCATCGAAAGTTTTCCAACAAGCCAAATAATCGCCACCAAATTTACTTCCGCCATATCTTTCGATTCTAAGCGAAGAGGAGCCTCGTTCTGAACTAACCAGCGGCAAAGAAGTAAGGAGGTTGTGTAACACTCCTGTACTGGATTCTGCTATAACGTATTTTTGTTGATGGTCTTATCGATAATGATGAAAAAGTAGCTTCTTCTAAAAGAACATACCGGTTGGAAGACTAGAGTGCAAAAACGCACACCCTATTTAATTCAGCTACGATGGCCGAGGACCAAGAGTTTATATGATAAAACTATCTTATCTTACCTTTTGGGGCCGCACACACCTATATACACCCGACTATATAGGACATATAAGGGAGTACGGGCGAATGACCGACCAAATGACTCGATTTTAACAGACGGTCAATGATCGGGCATACTCACACCAGACAACCTCACACTGAACCTCATGGGCGGAATTGACGGGGAAAAAAACAGCAAACGCGACGAAATTGTCTCTCGATCGGGCTAAGCCTTGCGTATGTTCAATACATACTCTTCTGCGACAGACGCAAATGTAATGGATAAAGAACGGATCGGAGAAGTATTTGTGAAGAAGAGTTGTTTTAAAAGGCTCTCAGTACGTCGTGGAAAGTTGAACCCAATTAGAGAATCAATGGCTTACCAAAGACGAGGGAAAAAAAGTTGTTGTGGAGGTTGGGGGATTTTTAACAGAATCGATGGCTAAAATAACGTTTCAGGACCTTTCAGAGTTACCTTACTTTATCGGGGTTACAATACTTACCCAGTTGGAGAGATCGACGTTGAATGTGACCAACCATAGCCTGGGACAGTATCCAACGTCGTCCCAAAACCATCTATGGTCAATACTCAATACAGATACCTTAACATGAGCTGATACCAATACCTTAGCTCACATGAGTTAAGTAAGCACTCGATCTTAGCTCGCATGAATGCATTACTTTGCTCGTTACCCATGCGTACCGCATACATTTGCAGTGCGTCCGGCAGTGCGTCCTATATTTTTTTTACCCCCTTCATTCTTAGTCCTATTACTGGCATGGGCAGACACCCAACCTTGTCCTGCACTCAGCCTTGGCCCCACCCATCTTTGGGTAACAACTAACCCTTAAGTTTCCTTAAGTTTCCATCCCCCGCGCAGGTGTCCATTCGTTACATCGTGCGTTCCCTCGGGCTTTACGTTGTGTGTTCCCCTGAGCGTTTCCCGTATGTTATCTCGAAACGTTATTGGCTAAAACTCAGTCTAACCTAGGCCCACATCTAACCCTGCTCTTACACTCGGCACAGCGCGTTCCACCGGGGGCTACTACGGGGTCCCTTCAGTATTCCCCGTTCGCTCCCTGTGAGTCCCCCCATACGTTTGCTCGTCCATTACAGCGTGCGTTTCCTCGAGCGTCACAGTGCTTCCTCATGTTAAGAGAGTTTTCAAAAGAACGAACTTAACGGCAAACGGCAAAAACAGAAAAACAATCGCCAATTCACGGCAAATATAAGTGCTCTTTCCTCAGTATACAAACAGCTAAAAAAATAGGGCAAAAGTTTAATGTTTGCCGCTCGCCATAAATGTAATTCTTAACCGCTCTAACCACGCGTTTCTCTCTAACCCGTTGTTACACTGTGTTATATGGCGTTGAAAAAGGGCTTATTGAACAACCAGGAAACTTCTCTATCCAGTGAAAGTAGT